TTCAGTTTTGCTAAGAAGGAAGGTAAAAGAACATATGGGACTCTTAGAAATTTAAGGAATGGAAAAATGTCTTGCTGGTGATAACTGGTCTGGAAAACTCAGGTGGAAGTGAATGACTGTCAGAAGGCACATGCATGTTTACATGTGGCGTGGCAGCGAAAATTGAGCTTGCTGGAGAGCTAGGAATGACTGTGGAACTGTTTTTTAAGGCTACATTAATGCCAGAAGCAATATATTGCTTCAATTCATTTTGTAAGATGTATTTCAGCTGTGTTACTTAATGAAAAAGTATCTTTACATTATTTTGATGTATTAATTACTTTTTAATTATGTTTGATTCATGTTGATATCTGTTGATTTGTTACAGTAAAAGTCTTAAATCATCTCCTTTGCTTCTTTCAATCATTGGCTAGGAAAATCATCTCTTTTTAAAAGTTAATACACTTTACGGGGAGTTTAGCAATTTGGTATATGCAAGAACTGTTTAATACAAGCTATTAAAAGGTAAACACTGTGGTTGGTATACCCCAAAGCATGATCAGGTACATTGGTTGAAATCTTCCATTCTGGAGTACAAGCTCGCCAATGGTGGGTAACTGGGAGCAACTTCTGCTTGAGGACAGGTCCACCCTTCTCACCCAATTATGTGATTTTCAGGTTATTACATATGCACACATGATGAGCAAATTTTGTGATAGGAAAGGACAGGAAGTCAACATGACTCAGCATTATCTGATTGGGTCAAAGGTCATGACCCCATTGACAGGCTTTCATTCCCTGGAAGCCAGAAGCATCACCCAGTGGATATCAACAGCTAAATATTCAGGATCTTCCACCCTGCCCTGATCAGCTTACCTCCCTTCCCCCGATGGACATCCACACTGGTCCAGACAGATTTCCACCCTTGGCCAGTCTCCTTGGCCTAAGATTTTTACACTCCAGTCTCCCTCCAACAATCATCTTCTGTCCCCTATAAGAGATGGACTATTGCCACACAATTTCAATAATGGCATGGAACGTACAAATGCACTCCAATGACTACTCACTTCAAAATCCAGGAGGATGACTATCTTGTCTGGTGCAATCCACTTTTATGTAGTAGTGAATGCAGAGGTATGTATTTCTCACTCATATAGCTGTGAAGGGGAACTTAACTCTGCCAAGATAACATGCAACTAGCATACATGAAATGCAAATGCATGCAAAAGGGATCCTCAATATATGCCATCAGCAAGCTCAAATGACTTTACAATTCTGAGGACTTAATTGCAATGTTTCGTCCTTTATTTACTACACTAGTTGGAGTCATACCTGACACAAAGGAAAATGATTGTGGTGGTTGGAGGTCTGTCATCTCAGCTGTAGGACATCTCTGCAGGAGTTCCTCAGGGTAGTGTCTTTAGCCCAACTATCTTTAGCCTTTTCATCAAGATCTTCCCTCCAATATAAAGTCCGAAGAGGGGATGTTCACCGATGTTTGTACAATATTAAACACCATTCGCCATTCCTCTGTTACTGAAGCCGTCCATGTGGCAAGATCTGGGCAATTTCCACATTTGGGCTGACAACTTGCAAGTAACATTCATGCCACACAAGTGCCAAGAAATAACTATCTCCAACAGGAGAGAGACTAATGATTGCCCCTTGACATTCAATGGCATTACCATCATTAAATCCCAAACTATCAACATCCTAGGGGTTATCATCAACCAGAACCTGAACTGGACTAACCATGTAAAAATAGTGGCTACAAGTGTATGACTCCTGCAGCAAATACATTTAGCAGGTTGAATTTAACATAGGGTTATCCATTCTGGTCAATAAAATAGAAAGGCAACTTATTATCTAAATGTAGGGAAATTTCAGTGTGCTTCAGTGCAGAGGGATCTGGCCAAACAGGTTAATTATTAATCTACAGATATTTCTAATAGCCTATACTAAAATTTAAGAGAGACAGATTCCTAGAAAGTCACATTTGCCGATCAAGCTATAGGTTCAGACTAGAAACTTTCCAAGAAAAATATGTTACAGAAAACAGGCACAAACATGTGTTTGTGTCTGCCTTCTGCATCTCTAGACACAGGAAGATTCTAAGTCTATAACATAATTAGTAATTTAACTGAGAAATCTTATTAGCTGGTGAATTTAATAAGCATAACTTTGGACTGCCTTTATTATTTTATCTACATAACTCAGCTTCCGCTGGCTTCCAGTTAGTTCACATTGACATTGCACTCATCGTTCAAGACTGCATCTGTGTCAGCAAGGATGCTGGAAATCTGAAAGAAACCCAGATGATGCTGGAGAAACTTAGCAGGTCTTGCAGCATCATGGAGAGAGAAACAGAGTAATGGTCATAACTCTGGTGTGACACTTCTTTAGAGCTGAAAGGTGTTGGAAAATGTTTATTTTTATGCTATTATCATAGACAGAGGAGGAAAAAGAAGGCAGATGGTGTAGGTGCCCAGTGCAAAAGATAAAGGCGTTCCTACTGGTGTGATGTTGAACTCCCAGTTGCATTACATTCAATAAATCACCTTGACCTCATGCTAATATTTCTGCCTTGGGCTTGCTGCAATGTTCCCATGAAGCACAACACAAGTCCTCTTAGTTGAGATGTCGTTAATGTTGGGGTATCATTTTAAGGTGAAAGGAGAGAGATTTAGAGGGGATTTGAGAAATTTTGTTTTTACCCAGAGGGTAGTGGGAATCCAGAATGCATTGCTTGGAAGGGTGGTTGAGGCAAGAAACCTGACAATCTTTAAAAAGTACGTAAATGAACACTTGAATTGTCAAGGTTAAGGATGAAGTGCTGAGAAGTGACACTAGTGTAGATAGGTCAGTGCAGACTTGATGGGCTGGAGAGGCCTCTTCAGTGCTGTGTGATTCAATGAATCAATGGCTCTATTTCCATATAGGGACTTTAAAGCCTGGAGGTCTCAATATCACAGCCTTGTCTTGTTTGGGTCTTTCTTACTTTGCTCTTAGTAGAGAGGACCGACTCTCTCACTTTCATACCTTAATTAACACGCATTTTACATCTCTTTTCCTCCGTCACCACTGTTAACAACAACTTTGTCTTTTACACTGGGCCTCTACACTATCTTCCCTTTATCCTCCTCTGCTTCTGTCAAAAGTATATTAAAAAAATATTTTCCAAAGCCTTTCAGTTTTGAAGACATCATACCAGACTCGAAACATTAACTTTGTTTCTCCACCGACGCTGCCAGACCTGCTGAGTTTCTCCAGCCTTCTCTGTGTTTGTTTCATGTATGGTGAGATTTCTTCTTCAGACTAGACAGCCTGTCTTACCTAACAAGTCCCCAGAATATGTTACCATCCATGTCAGCACATTGCTGATTAACTTGTAACAGTGTGAATCCTTGAGCTTATACAAGCCATTGTAGTACATACTATCTGGTCATTTATGTTTCCTAAGAGGAAATCTTGGTAAATCTTTGACAATAGATGTGACATCATTTCTCACCTGGATTGTCTGTATTTAATAATAGCAATATTTGGACTACAGCCACTTCACATTTTGGTTATATTATGATCAGTGAAAATTAATACTTATATACAAATGATACGCTCAAAGGTTTTTCTGCTCCTTGCAAAGCTTAAACTTAAAGAGATAGTAGGAACTTCCGATGCTGGAGAATCTGAGACAACAAGGTGTAGAGCTGGATGAACACAGCAGGTCAAGCAGCATCAGAGGAGCAGGAAAACTGACGTTTCGGGTCTCGACCCTTCTTCTGCTGCTTGGCCTGCTGTGTTCATCCAGCTCTACACCTTGTTGTCTTAAACTTAAAGACCTTGGTTTTGACCATCTTTCCCATCTACTTGCGTAGTGGGAATGTGTGAGTGAGAGGTTAAAATTAAGTTGAGTTGAATTACCAACCTGACAGCATTCTGTGGTCCAGGCCCATTTCATCTTCACTGAAGTTCAAATTAGCTGAGGCTCGTAGTTTAGATGGGCAGAAGCCATATTTGCATTTTTTAAAAAATGATAAGATCACATCATGACACTGGTGAAACAAAACTAAGGTCAGTGACAATTCCATACTACATGCAGCCTGATGGTTGAACCATGACAGGAGACAACAGCTGGCCAAAAGAGGCCAAGAACCTAGCTCTAAAAACATAATTTTATCAGAACTTCCTGTGAAATAAAAGGAACAGAAATGTGACCAGCAGGCTCCACAATAAGTTGTATGGTATCCTCAAACCCTCCCTGCCCCATTTTCCCAGCATCATTAGCAATGGGAACAACCCCCCACCCCCATGCATCTCTGTATCGTGATTTTCCCCCACCTACCCCTTCCCTCAATCACCATCACTTCCACATCCTCGTGTCCCTACTAACTGTTCCACAGATTGTTCTCATAGTTCCTGCAATCAAATTACCCATTCAGTGACTTAGTTGTGGATGTAATTGGATTTGAGCAAGGCTCCAGGAGCATTTTTAACTCTCTTTTTTAATGGAAGATCATTTTTATCATGACACTTCAACATGAAGCAGTAATGTTAGCAAGGATCAAAGTACTGATCATGCAAATGCATACATAGAATAATTATTACAATATAGTAGAAGCAGGCACACAGATCTTGAAGTACCCTATATTTTAAGGAGTTCCAAAACTTAAACATTTAAAAGCTTTACTTATAACTAATTTATTGTACAGAAAGCTTTCTTCAACCCATATTGTTACTCTGGTTGTGTTCATACCTGATAGAAAATACGTGAAAAATTGAGGCTACTTTATTTGTTTATTTTCACCCTGAAGTTTGAATGTTGGTAAGCACTAAATTTTCTAAGCTCATTCTTAAAAATGCAAATGGACTTTGTACAAAACTGTCAAACGTGTTGTTAGAACATCTCATCATGTATGGTGTGATCGGTATTAATTAAACATTGTTTAATCCAACAAATGTACACATTTAAATGTAGATAATATTTTCAGTGTTCTTATTCTGCTGATTTATGTATTTGATTCCAGGCTTGTGACAAAGACCAACAATGTGGAGGAGGCATGTGCTGTGCTGTCACTCTGTGGCTTAGGAGTCTACGAATATGCACACCAATGGGCAATGAAGGGGACGAATGCCATCCTCTGAGTCACAAAGTTAGCATTTTATATGCTTTGTATACTAAACAGGAGTTAACAAGTTAAAGAAATAATGCATAATGCAGAGTTTCCAGTTCAAAGTCAAGTCTGCAATAATGATAGCATTTTTCATCAATTTACTTACATCTTATATTTAACTATAAATATATTATGTACAGCACATTAGAAGAAATGCTGATTTTAAATAGCTGTAAAAATGCAAGTTAAACCAGTTAAGAGTGTACATCATTATTTATCTTACGCAAACCATTGCAATACTTTTAACCCTTGGACTACCAAGAAATTCTTATATCTTTGGATTGACCTGTTCTGTAATTTCTTTTAGCTTAACTACAATCTTAATGAACAAATCTTTAATGTTATAGCAATAAAGCTACTTCAATACCAGGAAGAGCTTTACTGCTGTGATATTAAAACTAAAGATGAAAATGTCTTCTTATAATATTAAACATCTTGCATGGAGCTCATACTTCATGGGGTTTTAACGCTGTCACATTTGTGCCTTCCCACTTCCAGTCCACCCTCTTCTTGACTCACAGTGAACAATGCCTCAGAAGAGTCTGCGGGTTATCATTCACAGTATAAACACTTAAGTTTGGTTGTTTCATGCCATTTGCTTCCAATTCTCCCTATCCTTTTGTTTTTCAAGTTTAACTTTACTCACTTTTTGTTAATTTTAACTTCTCTTTGTTTAGTCATTCATGGGTGTGGGCGTCATTGACTAGACACCGTTTATTGCCCATCCCTAACTGTCCGTGAAAGGGGGTAGTGAGCTGCTTTCTTAAACCACTGTAATCCATGTATTGTAGCTGCGCCCGAGTACTATTAGGAAGGGAGTTTTAGGACTTTTACTATGAAGGAATGATGTTATTTCAAGTCAGGATGGTATGTGGCTTGGAGGGGAACTTGCAGTTGGTGATGTTTTCATACATCTGCTGACTTGTCCTTCTAAATGGTAGGAGGTCACAGCTTCATTGTTCTATGCATGTAGTTCATTGTTAGCATCCAGAAACGTAATATACACAGAAGAGAGCTGTTCCATGTATAAAATCTTCCACTATTAAATGTGAAAATATGATTATATGAGATCCTCACTTCAAACATAAACATTATTCCATACAATTTTAAATGGCATAAAATAATTTATGTAAATATTTTCAATTTTGTCATTATTCAGCAGTGTGCCCAAAATGCTCCTTGCATTCTCAGTAAATAAAATGAAGCACCTTAAATAAGGCCATGTTTACTCACAGATTTGAGTCTATAGGTGTGAGTCTGGAAAAGCACAGCAGGTCAGACAGCATCCGAGGAGCAGGTAAGTCAATGTTTTGGGCCGAACCCTTTTGCCAAGACCTGAAATGTTGACTTTCCTGCTCCTTGGATGCTGTCTGACCTGCTGTGCTTTTCCAGACTCACACCTGTAGACTCTGGCTTCCAGAACTGCAGTACTTATTGTCTTCTTACTCACAGATTTGGCTCTGTTTGGACTATTTGAGACCACAAGTATTTAACTCCTCTGAAGAGAAAGAACCAAAACTCAAAAGAGAGAAAGGAAGATGGGAAAGGGACAAAAATTGTTTAAGAAAGATTCTTCTCTCTCTCTCTCTCTCTGGAGTGCAATTATGAATTTAAATACAGAGGTTACAATGACATATGCATGAACACAAATGCTGGGAGCTGTTTTGTAATTTGCACCATCTTAAAGTGAATCATTCAGCTATTGTGTAGGAGGAAAGCTCAAATTTATTTTAACAGCTCCAGAATAAATGTAGGATTATTTGCACCATTCCAAATAAATGCGTGCAAAATTCCAGTACATCTGTAATTCAAATTTGTGGAAACTTTTAACGATTTGTTTGAAACTTTGCTAACCTGAATAAGTTCTAAAATCTGTTCCATAACTTTAAGCAAGATGCTTTTTAAAACCAAATTTAGGTTTTCAATTGTTGCTTGTTGTTTCACTTACTTCAAGCATTTGGCTATATGAAGCTCCTTTTCCTTCTAATGACTCATAGAAAAGCAGCAAAGAGAAATGAGGAGAGAACAAAAATCCTAAGACCCAGGTCATTACAATTTTCTGCATTATTCATGGAAGTCATTTCTCTATCAAGGTCCTGCAAATGCCTAATGCAGCACAAAGTACAACAACACTGTGTTGACAGAATGGTGACAATTACAATCCACTGACAGCTTCCTACATCATTCTTCTAACATCTTGCCTCATTTGTTTTCCATGCATTGCTACCTATGACAGCCATCCTTTGAACACATTTTTACTTTCTACAGCAGTGGAGCACATTTAATGGAGTTAGCAGTTTGCGTAGGTTCAGAGATAACACATCAAAAGACATTAGGTGACTTTAGTAGGATTAAAATTAAAATTCATTTAAGTTAATTAGCTACTAATGACCATGTCCTGACAAAAGAAGAGAGACATGGTTGATCCTGCCAGCAGCCTGACCAGTACCTCAAGCTGTTCAGGTCATCACCATGAAATCAGCAAGTTGAAATTACTGTGATGCCTGTCATCGTTCTTTTATGTTACACAAGTTCTATCAGTAACCAACTGCATCATTCATTCAATTGAAGGCGAAATATTAATTTCTCCTATTCTCATAATACTGATGGCTAAATTCTCGGGAATATTCATTATAAATATGCAGAAATAGTTGTAGATTACAGAATGAATTTTTACTTTTGATAGTGCTACCTAAAGTTTCCTATCACATACTCTCACCAGGGAGTCATGTTCAAAGACAGTGTCAATCAGAACGAGGATTACAATTTTGTAGTGCTGATTCCTTTGACCACGATTCTTTGAACCGAGGTTTCGACTGTCCCTAATAGCTCCTCATTGGGCTCTGTTTCTTAAGAAGTGCCAAACCAAAGCCTCCTGTGTTTATTTATCCGACCAAGTAATTCGGAATACAATATCCATCACACCGCTGAGTTTTTCCAGCAACTTCTGTTTTTGATCCATCACACAAAGTTGGTTTCACCAAACTAATTTACTTTTTAAATTGTGTAACACAGATTGCAATTCTACAAGGGATGTCTTTAACGATAAATAAGTGTGAATCACACGCCATTATCCAGACGATAGCTTTAGCAGCAGAATATTAAGCACCTCCATTAAAACAAGCTGTTAGCAATTAGTTTTAACTTAAGGTGCTGCCCTTAGCAGCCTCTTCGTAACTTGAAAGATTTTCTTTCAAATTTAAAGATGAAAACATGTGGTCAGTAACTAGATATATTTATTTTGTAGCAGAAATCACTATCCAGTCATGTTTTTCTACCGCTACCTTTGCTGAAATATAGAATCATAAAATTCCTACAGTGTAAAAGCAGGCCATTCATACCAACCCTCCAAAAAACATCCCACCCAATCCCTGTGATGCTGCATTTCCCATGGCCAATCCACCCAACCTGCATATCTTTGGACTGTGGGAGGAAGCCCACACAAACACTGGGAGGACGTGCAAACTCCATACAGACAATCGCCTGAGAGTGGAATCAAACCCAGGTCCTTCACCACTGAGCTACTGTTGCCCTGCTACAATCTTATCTGCTACAACTGTAGTCCAGGTTATAAATTATTTACTAAACAGCAAGAGGCAAGGAAATACAAAATTTATTGAGCTAAATAAATACTATTTCATAAATCTGTTATTACCAAAGTCTTTGGGTGGATGGTTTATGTATCCTCCTTTACTAGAAAACTTAGGTAAATTAACATCACTTTTTATATAGCTGTTGAAGATTTGTTTAATAGAATCGTGCCAAAGAAACAACTCACTTAATCATTTCTGAAATGCAACAGTCGATCTTTTGTCTGACATAACATTTCAGGAAACATTTTGAATGATATCTTGGGGAAGACAGAAAAATCACTTTCTGCGCATAGAGAGTTAAAGATTAATACTTTAGTTCACGCTTATAAGGATGACTTAACAGTAATGCTATTATTTTTACCTGGTTCACTGAGATGATCATTTTGCTTGCCAGGATTTTCTGTTCTGTTCTTCAATCTCTTGTCTCCGGGTACGTTTCCCTTCCTTGCAGGAGGCACAGGCAATCATGCAAAAATTCCAAAGTCTCTTAGTTACTGTGTAAAAACCACAGCTTGAAACAATTGGTGAGGAAAATAAGTTGCCTTTCTTCAGGTTTTAAATATTTTGCTTGATAGAAAGACACACCATCTACCCCTTGCAACAGTCTGAAGGCTTTTGCCAAGCTATTCAAAGATGCAGAACCCAATCAGATACTTGTTGTCAGACTGATGGCCTTCATCGTCTACAACAGATCACAACTTCACAAATCAATCAGGAACCTGTTGCTGGCCAAGTCTCACTTTGTACATATCCCCGAGTGCTAGCCAGTCTGCAAACCACCTCTCCCACTGTTTGAACGTGACTTAAATAGTTCCATCAACTTGCTTTTTAAAAGTGCAGTCATTCTTTCCATAATCCTTGGTTTTAAAATAGTCCTCTTCCCAAAAAACACAGAAAAATATCAAGGTACAGTCTTTGCACACAATATAGGATTTCTTTATTTTTCAGTTCTATTCACCTGGAAATGATCCCAAGTGTATGGTTTTCTTTTAAAAGGCTTCCTTAATGTTTGTTATTACTATTATACATAATCACAGATCCCTTTAATAACCAATTTAGATTTCTATTCTTAAGTAACATGCAACCTCTTTATTTTTATAACCAAAATGTTATACTTCATATTTATATATCTTGAAATACTCTTAACGATTATAAGGCAATCCACAAATCAGTAAGTATTTTCTTCTGATTTAGTGCAGTCCTCCTCAGTACCAAGTATCATCCCCAATCTTTTTTGTCAGCTGCAAATGTAGTTGTATTTTGATTGCAACGTCCCTGGGTTGAATTTTACTAGAATCAGCTAAGAGTCATTTTCAGGGAGTTTCATAGAGGGTTTCTTGCTTTGAGCTCCAGCAAGTTTATCTTGCTATTGTCTGGAGCTCATCT